TGCTCTGTTTCCAGAGCCTCTTCAGGGCAGTGGTGTTCTGGTCATATTTAAGGCCCCGCAGATGGTGTTTTGAGCTGCGTATTTCCCAGGTTACTCCAGCACACAGGCTGTGCCCCTAGGTTCCCTCCGTCCCCGCTGCACGGCCGCTTCCTTCGGCAGCAGCGGTGGAAAGGCTGGGACCCGGGGGCTCTGGGATGCCGTGGGGAAGGGGCAGTCGGGGTGTGAACTGAAGAAGGCTTTATTCTGGCAAGTGTGTCCCAAAGTCTCGCAGCCCTTGGCTTCCATCTCGGGCTGCTTTGGCTCTGGCCTGAAGCGGGAGAAAACCCCTGGATCTTGTGGGTGATCCTGAAACACTGCAGGTGCTTCTCTCGGATGCAGCGGGAACTGCTGGCGGATAAGCAGGAGCCAGGGCGTCCTGTGGGTCTGGATGTGAAGGTGGTGAGTTTGTGATGAGTGCCTGGGGATTTGAGTGAGGCATTTGTAACCCATCAACCCTGTGTCCTCTAAATGCACCCCAGAAACTGTGAAGCTAGCTTCAAAACCATGTTTTGTACTAAAACCCCCTTTCTTTTTCCTTGCTTTCTGCTATTTTAATACTTCATTAAGGTACATGTGGAAACTTGTCTCTTAAGCTTTTTCTTTCCCTCCTGTTTGGTTAATATGGTGGAATGCCAGAGCAGAGGTCTAAGCAAACTGATGTTTAAGGATCAGCTGGATTAACATCTCTTGGGAATGATGGAGTTTAGTGTTCCTTGGGGCTGAGGGGTGATCATATGAAGTCCCTTCTAATAATTTTTTTGGGAGGGGACTTTTTACAAGGGCCTGTAGTGACAGGACAAAGGGGAACGGGTTTAAATTGAAAGTGGGGAGGCTTAGATTGGATATCAGGAAGAAGAAGTTCTTCCCGGAGAGGGTGGGGAGCACTGGGACAGGTTGCCCAGAGAAGCTGTGGATGCCCCATCCCAGGAAGTGTCCAAGGCCAGGCTGGATGAGGCTTGGAGCAACCTGGTCTGGTGGAAGGTGTCCCTGCCCATGGCAGGGGGGTTGGAACTGGATGATCTTTAATCCCTCCAACCCAAACTGTTCTGTGATTCTATGATTTTAAGATGAAGGCTAGACCATGAGCCTTTTTAACAAAACTGCATGTTTCTCATTTGCATGATTCCTAGAGCTGGGGCATTTGGGCACGTACTAACCATGACAGTTTTGCCGGTGGGTATGATTGTACAAATTAGCAGGAGTTTTCTGAGATCCCATCTTACTTGAAGGCGAGCTCCGTCCTCTCCCCTCTACCTGCTTCAATCCAGGGCTGGAACCAAAGCCATCCCGGTCTGTGGTCTGTGCAAATTCAGACCCGTCACAGACTGGTGCCCCGAGGGGCATGTTAGGCTGGGTCGGTGGGCAAGCGTTATGTGAGGGAGCTCTTCCTGTAATACCCTGTGCAGAAGCTGAGTGCAGGAAGTCCCGTATTTACGTGGTGAGCTGAGCAAAGCTGGTGGATGTTGTCATAGCTGCAGTGAGGAGTTGGTAACATGTTATTTCTGGCTGAAATAGATGCTTTGAGGAAAAGCAGCAGCTCTGAGTGTGCCTGTTGCGTGCGTTCATAAGATAGGATCGGATGCGAAGGATGCTTTGCAAGGCATTCTCTCTCTTCCCTCCTGCACTCCCTGCTGGGAGGAAACCCAGTGGCCAGTGGAGAGTGTGAACATACTCATTAATAATTTTTCTAGCTCCTGGGGTAGTTGGGGAGCAGCAGGAACTCTTGCAGGAACACGTGGGCATCCAAAGCAGTCCTGGTCTGGGCAAGGCTGTTTTGTTGCAGCTTGGCCCTTGCACCCTCAGGTGAGAGCTTATACCAGTCCAGGGCCACACTTGCTCCTGATGTAGCTCCTTGGGTGCCTACGAGAAGTTTTGGGTTGAAAGGGTTGTGCCTGCAGATCAGAACCATGGGATCCACCTGCAGATGTGATGTGTGCCTCTACTCTTCCGGCCCTTCGTATGAATGCGCTCCCACGCGAGGCTTGGGTCGGAGGAGATCCCGTTCGGGGGCTCTTGTCACCAACCCTGTGGGAGGGCTGTTAGATGCTGAGATTTCTGGTACCGTGTTAGAGCTTTGAAGGAGGCCTTGCTGCTGGGTTTTGAGCAATGTAACACCGGAATGTCCCCTTTTTAATCCCTCTTTTGATTTAGATCTGCAGAAAATGATTCATTGTGTGTCTCTGAAGGCAGCAGAAGGTAAAAGTGGAAAAAATACCTTTTCTTGGCCCATTTAAGGTTGTCCATGGGAGAAAGTTTAGTTGGGGGTAATTCTCCTGGTTCCACAACTGCCCCATGCTGTAGGTCTGCGGGGGGTTGTGGATGCATTTGTAGCTCATAAAAGAGAAAATTCCTGGAATAAATGTTTATTTCTTGTGATGAGTCACGGTGCTGGCAGGTAGTTTGGGATCTTATTCCAGGTGGGAGAGGGGCTGTGTTAGCAGGTAACTGAACTCAGCTGAGGTTCTGTAGCTTGTGCTCTTCACCTAGTCTGATTTTTGGAGGCAACGCTTCATCCTCTGACATAGTCTGCAGTTGGTTGTTCAGCCTCTGCTGCTGCCGTGTTTTTTTAGATGGGCTCTGCCTGTTAACATTAGCAAGGCGGTATTGATCTCCTCTTAAGAAAGCTTTAATTTTGCATTTGCCGCTCAGTCAGCTGTGCGTAGGTGGTGATAATCCCTGTTAGTCTTTGGACTTGCTTTTCCAAATGCCAGTCTTTGCAATCAGTGTGATCACACCCCTTTAGAAGCAGGTTGTTTGGGAGACATCTTTACCAATTCCTTTTCTGCACCAGTCCTGGGGAGTTGCATTCTCAGCCTCCGTGGGGTCAGGGTGTGAGGTGATCTTCCCCCAGCCGTGGGGGCAGGTCCAGCACCCTGCCTGTTTCCCAAACGCTGTTCCTCCAGGCTCTCTAATCTGTGTGAGTTGGTACTGCTCTTCTGGGAATGCCTCTGACTGTCCTTTAACCTGCTGAGAGGGCAAAGTACCTGCCTGCCCCGAAGGCAGGTGGCAGCCTTGGTGCTGTTGCTGGGTTTCGGGTGTTCAGTTGTACTCACTCATTCAAAAACATGCGTAGCTTTTGTTACGGGAACATTTAAACCCTTGTTTAAGGCTTATGGAAGAGTGAAGGGCTGCACGCTTACACCGGGGTTGAGGGCATGCAGTTGTCTTCTGGTCTCTAGCTCAAGACCTGAAGTGATTCTGATTGTGGTATTTCTGGATTTGCTGTTCAGTCGGATGCGTGCTGCCTCGTGCCGACATACGGGGCTCTCCTCAGCCCTGGGAACAGCCCAGTGCCGCAGGTAGGGCGAGGGGCCCTAACTCAGGGCTGGCATGCTTTGGAGACCCTCCTTTGCCCCTGCAGCCTCTGGAGAGGGGCTACACCTCAGATCAACAACCGTGGTACCTAATGGGGGTGATCCTGGTTTGCCGTTACCTATTTCCATTTGGAAGCGTGCGGTTTCACCATGGGGGGGTGGCCTGGCCTGGCCAGACCAGCTGCTGTCAAAGGTTCTTGGGTAACCCTGGGGGAACGACTTCATCCATCTGTGCCCCTCTCCCCGTCTTGTGGAAGCCTTTCTGTCTGCTTTTGGTCCTTAGAAGAGAAGGTTTTACTAAAAGCATCCAACTCCGTATCAGGAAAGGACTTGAGCAGGTTCTGGAGTATTTCTTGTGCTCGGACCTTACGCACAGTAGGTACAAAGCATGGCCGGCCCCGCGTCGGGGTGGTTCTGCTCGTAGGGCATTGAGACGGGCATTGCGCAGGGGTTTCTCATCACAGGGCACGGGCTCTTGCCCAGCTGTGTGTTGGAGGCAGAAAATAGCCTCATCGCTTGCGCACGGAGCTGGCTGATGCTTCATCTACCTTGTCCACACGTGGCTGAGAATCAAGTTGTCCCGTTTGTGCTCTTAGAGCTTCCTTTCCCAACCCAGCTGAGTAGAGGCTTGAAAAAAGAAAACCCTTAGAAATCTCAGCTTTGGCTGTGGATTTACTGTGCAGGATGCTGGCAAGAATTCCGTAGTGCTGGGGTGTGGTTTTGCGTAGTCTGCTGTCGGCGGTAACTTCTGGGGAAACACTGGATTTCGGGTTGCCTGCTGTCGAGCTGGTGGTCCGCAACCACGAGCATTTCGGGTTTGCTTCTGGCCATGGTAGTTGCAGGTGGGGAGTCGCTTCTTTAGGGTAAGCAAAGGCAGGGCTTGTCTTGAATGGGAGTTGAACAGCAATATGCTGCCTTCGTGTTAGGACTTGTAACCGGGCTGTGTTTCACGGCCAAACATCACGTTACATCAGCACGATCGGTCCCGTAGTGCGCTCTGCGCCACATTTACCTTCGGGAGCGGCTGTCCTTTTTAATGGTTCGTGAGCTTTAACAAACTGTGTCCCAGGAATACAGGTGGCTGGGATGGGGGAGGGTGAGGAGGGGAAAACTGGAGTGCCAAGGAGGGCTGTGGGTCAGATAGGGCTCATCTGGCAGGGGATTGAGTGGGGCAGCTCCAGCCCGTGGTCAGCCCGGCACCGTCGCGGTGTTTGGAGGCGGTAAAGCCGCCGTCTGGGGATTGGTTTAGTGTGATGCCTTCGAAACACCTAGTTTAGGGGACCTTTAGGGTGATGCCCCTGGATCAGGGCTGATTCCAGGGCTCTGTGAGTGGGAGCTCTTGGCAGACTCGATGCCTGAGGAGCCCTAAAGCCAAGGCAGAGGGGATGGTCCTGCTCACACCAGCTCAGAGGGTCGCTGGCCAGACTTGTGCCCGTATTTCCCTGCTTTAATTTGCTGCCTGGGCTCCCCCCGCCCTCTAAAAGCCTCTGGATCCTGTCCTTGTGCTGACTCCAACCCCGTTACCTCCTGGATGTTTCATGTTCTCCAAATCAAGAGTTTGGATTTTGGTTTATCTTTTGATTTTCTTTGAAAGGTTAAAGTTTTTTTTAATGAATGTGTCTCCCCGTTGTTTCCTTCCTGCACCTCGATCTCGTACCCGCTGTAGGCATGACGGCTATTCTGATGTCAGCCGCTGGACTCCCCGTGCACCTCACCTGTGTGCCGCAAGCTGCCAGCACCCATAAAGCCACTAAAAAACACAGCTCAGTTAAGGAGGGGAGGAAAATGTCCAAGAAAGGTAGTTCCTGCTCAAACTCTGATATTTGCTTCCATCTCCTTCTCTTTTATCTCCCTGCACTTGTTCTGCCTCTCTCCCTTCCTCTTGTTTCTCCCCCCACCACCCTCTTGGCTCTCCCGACGTGACTGATGTTGGTCCCACCAAGGGGAGAAGGGCACATCTCCTCGCCTGCACAGTCTCTGACGGGCTGTGAAACAAGATGATAAAGCAGACCCTGTCCTGTGGTAGCTCTGCTCGTTTCCACCAGTCCTTAAAGTTGGAGCCGCCCCGTTGTTCTCTGGGCACATCAGACTTGTGCAGCCTCCCCTGTGGTCCTGCTGCACCTTCCTGGGGAGTCCTGTGTGTCCACGTGCCAGGACCTTCTCTGACTTGGTGTTGGGACAAGCCTGGGAGCTGAGGGACCATCAAGGGGAGCATTTAATCCGTATGTGCCCTTGAGAGACGGTCTGCTTGTGAGACGTGCTTGTCACAGCTGAGTCACGGATGAGGAGGATCTTCCAGACAAGCAGGCCCTGAGTCCTACAGGGCTCTCAAGGTCAGATTGCAGAGGATTTGTTCTCCCCTTGGCTGTCTGGGGTGGAGGGGAGCGGGGCAGAGCTCTTGGGTGGACGTGGCCTGGCAGGAAGGGCTGGGCTACCCCAGCTCTCTGGCTGAGCAGAGCCACCTCCCGGCCAGGGCCTTCGCTTCTCTTCATATCCCCCTGGCACCCTCACCCTGCAGAGTCTGGGCTCCCGGTCCAGAGCCTGGGTCCCATCCGTGTGTGGCAGCGTGGGCACTCTGAGGGGGCAGGTGTGAATCCGGCCTGGTGTAGCTGTCCAGGTTGGGTGCCAGCCCCAGCACGAGTGTCCTGTGGTGGTCAACCACCACCGAACCCATGGTGCTTCCCCCTTTAGATGGGGAGAGAGGACTGGGGGTGGATGGGTAGTCGACATGGGGGCCCTCATGTTTAACGAAGAGGGAAAAGCCGTGAGGTTGAGGGGAAGAGGCATCTGGCTGTCTGGGGGGGGTGGTGTTGTGCCAGTGTCTCTCTCCTTGGAGTCTGCGCGTGCAGCGAGGAAGCTTGATGGGAAAGCGAGGGCCAAACCCAACCGAAGGAGGCAGGAAGGGGTGGTAGGAGGAAAACAGAAAGGAAATGCAGAGTGAGGTATCTTGTGGAACCGAGTTATGGAGGGAGCTGGGAGGAGGAGATGCAAATGGTGAGAAGGAGGGAGAGAGCAAATGTGGAGTAGGATGTGTGATAGAGGGGGAGGAGAAAGCAGGGGGCGGCAGGAGAAGCAGTGAAGAACAGGAGGAGCAAAGGAAAATGGGAGGTGAAGGAGAGCCCAGCGGAGGTGGTGATGGTGGAGGGGCGGGATGAGGCGCTCTCTCTGCAGGGCCAGCTGGCAAGGCAGGGGGTAATGCCAGCTCCCTGCACTTCACTTCCAGCATGGGCAGCATCCCTGCAGCCCTCTGCAGCCAGGGATGAGGGCTGGCTGGGGAGGATGCCCTGCAAACTACCGGAACGGTGCTGTGGAGAGGCCAGGCCCTCCCGCAGAGGCATCGCCTTGCCCCTATGGCTGGAGGAGCCCGAAGAACAGAGCCAGGCATTGGTATTGGTCACCTGCTGCAGGTTAATGATGTGAAAGGCTGTATTTAGGGCAAGGTGTGGCCAAACACAGCCTTGCTCCTCTGCAGGACCCCCTACCCAGCTGTGCAGCAGACTCCTTGCTTCTTAGTGGCATCTGTCGTACCGAGCTCTGCACTACCCAGCTGTGCAGCAGACTCCTGGCTTCTTAGTGGCATCTGTCGTACCGAGCTCTGCACCGCTCGCAGCATCCAGCCCCTCCTGGCACGGAGCAGATGTGAGGGCAGGAATCTGAAGGTCACAGGGGGATGCAGCTGGTGCCTTAGGAGCAGGGTGGGGAGAGCATCAGTGCAGTACCTGAGCTGGGGGGTGAGAACAACACACTCCATGTCAGGTATGTGTCAGGGGAGCAGTGGGGGTGGCTGTAGCTGTGCTGGCTGTTCCACACTCCATCGGCAGCGTGGCCTCTTCCATGGGATGCGGTTCCTCAGCACTGGGAGCAGCACCCAGAGCACATGTGTGTTGCCTGCGGGGGCTGCTGAGCTGCACCATGGCCGAAGGCTGGGTGTGCTGGGGCAAGGCTGGCTCTGGCCGCTGCTCCCGGGGGTGTCCGGGCAGCTGGCTCAGCCCCAGGGCTGTGTGGAGAGCTGAGCTGCCAGCTCACTGTTGTCGCCTCTGATGGGGCAGAGTCTGGGGCAGGGTCACCAGGCAGCTCCTTCTCCCATCTGGCAGGGCAGGATTTGTCCCAGCCATCCCCATCCTGCTCAGGGTGTTCTGCAGGGGAGATGCTTTGCCTGCTCTGCCCTTTCCAATGCTGACCCCTGAGAAGGGCTGCCATTCTCCACTTTTAGTTTGCTAAAGTCCCCCCTCTTGCAAAGCGAGGTTCCCCATTGCTGGGGGCAGGGGTGCCAGTCCTGCAGAGTGCATGACTCCTGGGATGAAGACGGGGCTCGGTCCCTCCTAGGAACGAGCCGTGTTTGTACAACACCCCTCGGGGCTCAGGAACATTGCTCTGCAGTGAGTACTGAGCTTGACTTCTGGCCTGACTCTTCTTTCCTCTTACAGACCCTGAAGCTGCCAACAGGCAGAGGTGGGCCCAAGTGGTGCCCTGAATTTCTGCATCATGTGCCCTTTCCCCTCCTGCACCACTCTAGGACTTGACTTTATGGAGATTAGGATTGTCTCCAGTGAGAGCTGTGCATCCAGGAGCAGGTCCCTTGGTGTGTCAGCTACAACCAGCTGGTGCCAGAATAGGTGGGGGTGGGTGCAGCGTGCCCCTGCCAAGCCCCTTCCCGCTCCCTCCTGCTGCTGTGGGTCGAGGCAGTGTTGATGGAACAGCAGCCAGCTCAGTCAATAGCTGGGTTACACTAAATGAAGGCTCTAATTAGTCAGGACTCGTTAATGTTGTTGCCTCTCTGGCACCGACGAGCGCGGCAGGTCCCGGGGAAGTCTCCAGGCAGGCACTGCGCATCGGTGCTGGCACGTGGCCTGGCAGTGTCTGCTGTCCTGATGGATCAGTGCTGCTTTCCCGCGGCACAGCGCTGCCTCGGGGTGCCGTGGCCGCTGCCTCGTGCTCGGGGTGGGCTGAGGCTGGGATGGGGGTGAAAGATTTGTCTGGCTCTCCCTGAGCGCTGCCATGCTGCTCAGGCATGGAGCCAGCTGCCGTGGAGCTGCCCTGCCTTCCTGGGCTCTGGGGGGGCACTGGAGGGAGAAGGTGTTGGTTTGGGTCTGGTGTGCCCCTGGTTACCCTCTCAGCTGATGGGATCATGGCTTTCCTTGAGGGTTTCCCTGCATGTCCGTCCTCTTTGGGACGGGCAGTCGCGTGTGAAGCGCTGCAGTAGGGAGGGAGAGGAGATGAGTGCGTTCGTCCATCCCTGCCAAGCAGGGTGGGATCTGGCTGGGTGAGGGGAATAATTTGGGCTGGCCCTGGCTGCTCCCCATATGTCTGTCTGTCTGCAGTTGGGTCTGCAGGCTGTGCCAGTGCCTATGAGATGGGAGGGACTGGAGAGCCCCTCGGAGTCGGGGGAGCTCACTGTTCTGGTGGGGCCATCTGCTGCAGGAAACAGGCTGCAGTAACAGGGATGTCCAGAGCAGGCTGGGCCCTTGGGTATTCTGCTGAAAGGCTAAAAAAAAAAAACCTGGTTTTAACACCAAATCTCCTCTCCCCTTCCTGATCTCTGGACAGCCCTCTCGGAGCTGTGGCCAATAGGTCCAGTCTTTGCAAGCCCAGGGAACAGGAAGCACCGAGATTGGAGGTGAGTGACTGTCTGTGACAAGCCCGTGTCTGGCCTGCATAGGGTACCAGAAAGTCTGCTGTGAGCCATATGGCTCCTTTGGGGATACAGAAGGAGGCATGTTACTGCTGCAAGCACTTGTGGTTGCCGAGCAAGGATTCAAAACACATCTGTTAAATGTTGCCCATGGAAAGCCTTTACTTCTGCAAGCGACTTGTTATCTACAGGGAGGAAGGGGAAGCATTAACAAAAATTTTTATTCCTCTCTTTGTAAGTGAAAGAATGGTAAACATTCCTTCACATCCCAGATAAATCAATAGCACAGCGTTAGGCCAGCTGGCCATAAACGACATCGGCCGACTCAGCTGTTGCATTTTCAATCTGCTATTGAATCCAGAGAACTGAACAGGCTTTGATCCCAAGGGATGGCCAGAACAAAGGTTTGGAGGCAAACAATTTACGGAGCAAATGGTCCTGTAAGGAAGTGATTCATGTGCTGAAGTGTATGTGGCTCGTGCCGGGTGCTGTGCCTCCCAGTTGCCTTCTAGCCCCCCCCGGGGCTGTGTGGGCTTCGCTACCTGTGCTGAAACCAAGTTCTCTGCATCAAAAGGCTACCTTGGGACTGGACAGGGAATGCTTGCAGCTGGGGACAGATTTCTTTTTTTTAAAGCATCTGGGCTGCTTTCTGTCTCCAGGCAACGCTGGTGGATGCAGCTGCATCCGAGTGCTCTCACAGCACTGACAGGAGCAGATCAGAGATGCTGCAGTGCAAACCCATCAGACACGGGTTGCCGAAGGATGGCTGAGGGCTACATCACCCTCTTCTGCCTGTCTGCTCCCAGCTCTGTCCTAATGCTGGCTGCTGAGGTGGTGTAATGCCCAAAATCCCTCCCCAGACTCTGCAAGAGCTTTCTTGTCCTTGCTGTTATCCAGCTCTGCGCTGGGAATTTTGTCCCACTGATTTGATTTGAGTGAGCCTGGCCTGTGTTGATCTCTGTGTTTGAGCTGCTACAGAGGAAGGAAAGGCAACAGCAGTGCACAGCGGGGGCTGCAGGGAAGGAGCGTCCCCGCCTTGTGAACGGGGGGAATAGCTCTAAAGCCGCTGGGATCTGCAGTGCAGGTGGGCGCTGGGGCGTTCTGCCAAGCACCGGGCAGGCTGCGCTCGCTTCCCTCGCTGTCTTCGCCTTGTCCGCGCATCTCTCTGGCATGGCTTTCCCCAGCCCGTAGCCAGAGGAGACAAGAAGGTCACTTCAGAAAGAGCCACCTGGAAAGACAGAGTCCGGATGGAGAAGGTGGTGGTGGATAGGCTGGCAGAGCACCTGGCTGGGAGGGCCTCGGGCACAGTGAGCACCGAGCTGGGCTCTGGGGATGCTGAGGCAGGTCCGGCCGATCACATCACCTCCTGATCCACTGCGTGCGAGCGAGGTCCCAGCAGAGGATTCCTGGACGCCTTTCTCACCTTGGAAAAGGCAAGGCATTCCCGGTGAGATCAGGTGATGAGGACTTAAAATCATAGAATGGTTTGGGTTGGAAGGGACATTAAAGATCACCCCGTCCCAACCCCCCGCCATGGGCAGGGACACCTTCCACTAGACCAGGTTGCTCCAAGCCTCATCCAGCCTGGCCTTGGACACTTCCAGGGATGGGGCATCCACAGCTTCTCTGGGTAACCTGTCCCAGTGCCTCCCCACCCTCTGCGGGAAGAACTTCTTCCTGACATCTAATCTTGAAGCAGCTCCTGGCACTCCTGAGAGCTGGAAGGCTGGGGCTTGCCCAGGCTCCTGTTTGTCTCCTGCTCTTCTTGTGGCAGTTCTTGGAAATGCTTTTCCAGGGAATTCTGACATGCCCCTGAAGTGGAACCTGCTTCCGTGTTGCTTTTTGGCTTAATGCCTGTTTTATCCTGTTACCACCTCCCTGACTGAGGATCTCCAGAGGGTGATCCTCACAGCCCTGCTTTTCCTGAGATGCTGGGCATCCCTCCTCCTGCCAGCCCCAGCCCTTGGAGGGAGCATCCCTTCACCTTGTGTGCTTCTTCCCTTGCTCTGTGTGCTCAGGCACCCCTGCTGCTGCTGCCAGAAATCATGTGTTTCAGGATGGCCAGGAATCCTCTTCTGAAAATAACTTATCTTAATGACTGTGACTTCGTTTAGGAGAGTCCACCTCCCAGTTCATTCTTCCTCAGCGAAAGGATTTTCCTCCCTCATTAGCACTCTGCCACACGCCCTCCTGTTGCTCCGAGCCGGTTTCCTTGCCCTGGAAGGGCATCTCTCCGGCTGCACCTCACCCGGCTGCCTGAGCTGCAGGTGACTTGCATTCCTGGGAACGAGGGGCTCCCACCTGATCCAGGATCTGTGCCATTCCAGTCTTTGTGGCATGTGAGCAGTCCTTCCCTTCTTCACCGTGTTTGCCTCTGCCATGAGAAGCACTTATCCAGGCAGTAGCACCCCTTCCTGCTGGGACAGACTGCTCTTTGTGGTGGCAGAGCAGCCATAGCCATCTCTTGCTTTTTCCAACCACAGAGGTGACACTTGTGAACCCTCAGTCTTCCTTGAAAGCCCCGAAGTGGATGGGCAGAGCTGAAGGTGCGTGTTGTGCAGGTACACCCGTGGCTCCAACACCTGGCAGTCGCGCGTAGCGATGCTCTGTGTTCGCCTGGAGGGGCAGAACTCCGTGCTAAAGCACAGCTGGTGTCCTGCAGCAGCTTAGAAGCGAGCTGGAGAGCAGAACTCTTTGGGGCAGTGTTGGAGTACAACTCCTTGCGAGGCCCTGGGGTGCTGGGCAGGGGTGCTCGTGGGCTCTCTGGCTGCTGCTGCATCGCCTTTGCTCCCCAAATCGCCCTGGCAGCTCTGCTGGCACTACTTCCGCACCCTGCCCGCCCCTTGGTGGACAGGGAGCAGGGACTATATTTAGGAAAACATGATGATATCAGTGCCGTGTGCTGCAAATCGGGTACCTGCATAAAGCCGGCTTGGTTTATATGCCCTGTGACTTGGGCTGTGTCTTGCTGGGTTTGAGTCTGTGGGTGTGTGAGAGGGAGGCTGCTGTTTCACGTGAGGGATGTGAGGCTTGTGGCCGTCCATGAACCAGGGCCTGATGCTTCATGTGGTGCTGGGTCCCTCCTTATCAGGTGAGGAGGCCCATGTGGGAATGCCTTTTCTCCTCTGACACCACAGGAGATGTAATCCTCGATCCCAGTGAGACCACAGTGTCCTTGGGTTGTGTTGGATCCTAGCTGGCCTCTAGTGCACACAGAAGTCCAGGTGGGACCTGGCTGATGTCACTTGGGGTGTGTGGGGGAGAACTGGAGCACGGCAGCTACAGGCAGACCCCTGGGTGTAGGGTACCCACATCTGCTGGTAGGTTCTCCCACCTGCAGCGCTTGCAGTCCTAGCGGCAGCCAGTTCTGATGGCAAAGCCTTTGCGGGGCTTGTAGGGATCTGTTGGAGCAGGCTCTTCTCCCCCTCTAACCCTGACCGTTCTCCTTGGCGTCCTGGCCAGTGACGTGGCTTGTGTCCCTTCCTTCCAGCTCGCCCTGCACGTGCCTGTCATACCTCGCAGCATGCCTGAGGTTTTTCTCCTCTTTCTGCTCTCTCTCCTTGTGCAGCGGCACCAGCGGAGCCAGAAGCAGTGGTGAAGAAGTACCTGGAAGAGGTGAAGGGCTCTCCTGCTGATGAGGTGAGAGGACAGGGAAGTGACTCTGGCTTGCCCACTGCCCTGGTCACCAGGGTGCCGTGACAACGACGGTGATGCCTGAGGGCTGTCCTTCCTCGGGTATGCCACGTGGAAGATCCTGCTGCTTGTGGTGGCACTGCTGACGCTTGGTGGCGAGGCCTCAGTGCTCTCTGAAGCCCACATGTGGTAACTGGTGACTAGTGCTTGTCGGAGGCTGGGACAGGGGAAGCTCAGTGTGGGTTGAAGAGCAAATCAAGGCAATGCCTCTGCATTCTCTTGGAGCTGGCTGCAGGGCCTGGGGGAAGGATGAGGTTTGACTTTGGTCTTCGCTCAATGCTGAGAGGTCAGAACCAGAGAGATCAAAACCCTGCGCTGGAGCTGCTCTGTAGAGGAGCAGGACATGCCCATACTCACTTCCCACTGACTGATGGCACTCTTCCTGTGCTATGCAGGAGGGCTGGAGTGGGGTGACAGCAGAGGAGGAAACCTGTCTCTGTGCCTTAAAGTGCAAAGGGAAGGATTAAAGCTGAAGGCAAATCTCGCTGGAGCATCTCCTTGGTCATAGAATCACAGACTGGTTTGGGTTGGAAGGGACCTTACAGACCATCCAGTCCCACCCCCTGCCATGGGCAGGGACACCCTCCGCCAGACCAGGTTGCTCCAAGCCTCCTCCAGCCTGGCCTTGGACACTTCCAGGGATGGGGCATCCACAGCTTCTCTGGGCAACCTGTCCCAGTGCCTCCCCACCCTCTGTGGGAAGAACTTCTTCCTAATGTCCAATCTCAGTCTAACTTTCCTTCACTTCCTTGGTGGGTCAGTCATTGCTATCAGCCTGTGCTCATGTTCCATGGTTGTTTCTCCTTGTGTCTTGGACTCCAGGACTGCATCATCTGCATGGAGAAGCTGTCCTCCCCCTCGGGTTACAGCGACGCGTGTGAGCACAGCACGTTGAAGCCGGAGACGGTCGGCCGCCTGACAAGCTGCCAGCACTCCTTCCACATGCTCTGCATGCTGGCCATGTACTCCAGTGGGAACAAGGTACCGAGCTGGCCCATCCCCACCAGGTCCCCCACGCCCAGGTGAGGGCTGCGGAGCTCTGAGGCCTGCTTCCCTCTCCCGGCAGGATGGGAGCTTGCAGTGCCCCTCTTGTAAAACCATCTACGGAGAGAAAACCGGTACCCAGCCCAAGGGGAAGATGGAGGTCTCCACCTTGCCCCAGTCCCTCCCTGGTCACAAGGACTGCGGGACAATCCGGATTGTGTACCACATCAGCAGCGGCATCCAGGTGAGTGCGCAGCATGCGCAGGAGCAGCTGCTGCCATGGAGCAGGAGCTGCCAGAGCCTCCCCCAGAAGGACAGGGATCTCGCAGGGTACCTGGCAGCCCAGCACTGAGCAGCATCAGGTGACAGTTCATGCTCGTCACCAGCAATACTCTGCTCCTTTTCCATGGACGAGCTGCTCTGAGACGGACCTGTCAGATCCTGCTCCTGAGGGATTGTCCGGCTCGATGCAGACGGATGTGTCCGTGCCAAATGTGCCTTACTTGTTGCAGGGCCCTGAGCACCCCAACCCCGGGATGCCTTACACAGCAAGAGGCTTCCCTCGCTACTGCTACCTCCCAGACAACGAGAAGGGCAGAAAGGTAAGGTATTGTCCTGATAACGGGCCTTTTCCCAGGCTGCCTCATGGCCCTGTGTTGGTGTATCATCTCGGGGTGCTTTGGGGGCTGTCCCCATGACGCTAACCAGCTGTCCTTCGGAGCTGTCTGTGCTGTTTGCTCCTCACGTGGATCTGTAACCCTTCTGCCTCTGGAGATCTTTGCTGCTTCTTCACAGCTTTGCCTCTGGAGACTCACTCTCCCCTGTCCCTTTACAAAACAAAATCCCATCTGATCGTTTGGGAAGATGCTCCTGGCCTGTCTCGGGCTCTGCAGTTCCAAGGGTTTGCACTTAAAACTGCTGAGCTCAGCAAGTCCGGCTGCTGGCTCTTCCCATCCCCGTTTCCTCTGGGTGGGTGGGTTTGTCTCAACTCATCCTGGGATTTTTTCAAGCCCTGGGAAGACCCAGCGTGTGCAGGGAATGGCCCTTCCTATCAGGGGAACCACAGGGGTAACTTCTGATCCTGGGATCTCTTGGTTTCCTCCTGCAACAGCAAGGATTTATGCTGTTAAGCTTCTGGCAAGCTGCCTTGGTGGCTCAAGTCTCCTGGCTGCTGAAGGGCGGCTCCTCCTCTCTCCCTCCAGGTCCTGGAGCTGCTGAGGGTGGCCTGGAGGAGACGTCTGATTTTCACAGTGGGCACCTCCATCACCACCGGCGAGAGCGACACGGTGGTGTGGAACGAGATCCACCACAAGACGGAGATGGACAACAACCTGAGCGGCCACGGCTACCCTGACCCCAACTACCTAGACAATGTGCTGGCGGAGCTGGCTGCGCAGGGCGTCACCGAGGGCTGCCTGAGACCGTGAGCCGGGGGGGCCCGGCCGGGCCTTGCGTGCCTTGGGGGCCTACCTCGTCCGTTATTCCTGTTGCCTTAAGTTCCTGTGTTGGACCGCCTGTCACACCGAGCAATAACACTACCGCGGGAGCCCTCCTGCCCTCCACAGCCTCTTTTTTGGGGGGAGGGGAGGATACTTTTGTAAAAACTGCAGCTGTGTCTCCGGGTGGGGTTGGTGCCCATGTCTGGGACTGGTTGGGAGAGTCGTCCTGAGGTGGCAGGACCTTGCCGTGCGGATGGATCTTGACAGGACAGGGAGAGGAGGGGTGTCTTGCTCCCACTGGATCAGCTGGAAAGCAGATGAGGGCTTCCCTCTGGCACCTCTAACAGTGAAGCTTTCCCCCTCCTGCCCCTGTATCTCTGCTGGCGTAACAAACACTTTGGTTCCGCAGCCAGCAGCCGCTTTGCTGGCAGCAAGACTTGGGGTGCCTCCCCCTGGTGGCCCTTCCCAGGGGACCAGCCTGCTCTGCGGCACTGGGGGTGCTTAATCCAGCCAGGAGAAATGAGGGAAAGCTCAGCTCTGGTGGGGGGACACAAATCTCTCTAGGGGTAGGACAGTGGGGCTGGTCCCAGGCATGGGGGGGGGTTGTAGTGTCTGTCCTGGGGAAGCTGCAACCCCCCACTCTTGCTTTGAGCTGCCATCCCCTCTCCTATTATCCTGAAGCCCTTCTGGCAGGATCTGCCTGTCTTCTTCCACTCTCTCCGGGGAAGTGGCGGCAGTTTGGGGCTGTTTGCCCGGCGAAGCCCCTGCGGGGAGGAGGCCGTTGTGCTGATGGCCCATCTTCCTCCTGGCTGCGGTGTCAGTGAGGCAAGGGGGCTGGCAGAGGTGTTCTCCCGGTGGGAGCACGCTCCTGCACCCTGGGATCTGATCCAGGTTGTGGCTGTGCTTCCTGGTACCTCTGTCTTGGCACTCTGGACCAGCAGAAGGGCAACATCCTTTCTCTCATGCCAACATGAAAACGAAAGGCTTTTTGGAGCCGTCGGGGGCTGGAGCTCTGCCCAGCGTTCCCCTCGTGCTTGCAGCCTCCTCTGCTCTAGGGAGAAAACCCTCTGATGTCCAGCGAAGTCCGGGGATGCTGCAAGACCGGGAGCGTCTTGGGAGCAGCAGGTCTGCATCTGCGTGTTGCGGAGCTCTCCGGAAACGGCTGTGTCTGCTCCTCTCCCGCCCTGCTTGCGAAAGGGAGAGGTTTCGGGTTGAAATGTCAGGTTTCTATTCCCAGATCATGTTCTGCCAGCGATCAAAAGAGTGAATTGAAGCGAAAACTGAGCAGGGCTTGCCGAGCCCTGTATGAAGCCAGAAATTCCGGCTGTGTGGCCCAAGGCATCTTCAGCGGATGCTTCTGTGTGTGAATCAGCTGGAGCCTCCCCATCTCTGTGCCGCCCCAGGGCCAGGCGCTGCGGTGTGAGCTGGTGGGCTCTGGGGCTCATCGCCCCTCTGTGCCCTTTGCCATGAGGCATCTCCTAAAATCCTTGTACGTCTGTGCAGAGTCCAGGATGGCTCAGCCCCCGCCCTGCGGGTGTGCAGGTGGCAAAGGGGCGGAAAGCAGCGTTGCTGCTGCCCAGGGTGATGCTTGGAAGCGGGTCCCCTCCACCCTGGGGCAGGGGTGGCAGGAGGGTTCCCTTTGCCCTGGGGCAGGGGTTGCGGCTGTGCTTTGTCGGTGACATGGAT